ACAACTACTTTGCAATTATGCTTACAATTAAGAAATTTTACTTCTAAGATGTTTGATAGCTTCCTAAGGATTGCTATAACATGTTAACTATGCCATTTGAATAATTTAACTTTCCTCTGCACTATAGGCCAGTTCCTGGTCAAGAATGTGGTTCCTCAGGCGTCCGGGGAGAGTGCAAAGGTCAAGGTGAAGGTTCGGGTCAACATTCACGGCATGTTCAGTGTGTCGAGCGCCTCGCTGGTAGAGGTCATTAAAGTACCTGAAGGGGAAGAGTCGACGGAGAATGACCAGACAGTGAATGAAGAGGAGGTGTGTACTTTGACAGCAGCGCACGCACACCTTTGTGTTTCACCTCAGACATCCTGTTCACACAGTCAGTCTGGCCACACCTCGATGTTGTATAAGCCAGATATGCCGTCACTATGGAATTTTGATATCTTGCCTTAACAAGTTCCAGACCTCTTCAAGGGCTTAAAGTTGTCTTTTGCTAAGGCCTCCTTTGTAATCATTTTTATTTTGGGTTGTTTTCCACCTCGTTAGAGCCAACTTTACCCTTTAATGTTCCTCTGATTGAATGTCACTTCAACTAGGGTGACACACAATAGTAGATGGCCAGTCTGTAAAAAAGAAAATGAACACACATTACACTACCTCTGCATTACCTATAAGAGGCTCAGGACACATAAGTGAGAAGGAAAGTGAAGTTGTTTGCTGACTTGTGATACTCGCATTCAATCGGTCTGAAGCCCGAGTTTGGATAAGACTAGCAGCATAATGCCATGTTTTTAAAAAAAAATAATGAATGTACTATGTCTTCCATTTTGTTACCGTTTGTCAGAACAAAATGCAGATGGACCATGAGGATCAGAAACTCCCGACTGGAGACAGCGAAGATAAAAAAACAGAAGCTGAAGAGATGGAGGTAAACTTGTGTTGACCTGTAAGGCGATGACCATAGAGTTAGGGCTCTTTGGATTCTCTGCTCCTTATTTCATTTCCCTCCTTCCTTCTCTTCATCCTTGCTTTTGTTTCTAAAATCCTCCCTTCGTCCTTTTACCCTATTGCCGTATTTGGCACTTCATTAAGAAAGGAGTAAATAAACAAACAAGTATATAGGGGAGAAGAATATAGTTAAAATGAAATACTAAAACATTAAAACTGTCCTAACAATCGTCAAAAGTCTATCGTTTGGCAAATCCAACAGAAATAATAATCACATTAACAGGAATATAGTCTGAATACAGTAATCCTGCACACATTTAAAGGACTTTAACATCTGTAGTTGGGGCACAAAGAAAATGATTTGATAGGATTAGTTTGATAGATTCCAGTAAGGAGTCACTCACCAGAGGAAAATGACTGCAAGTCCCTCGAGGCTTCACATGTTTTATAAAATAATGTTTTTGACTATAATAAGAGCATTTAGACTGATAATCGTTTAACCTTTTATGTTTTCTCAGATTCACCATCATTGTACTAACCTCAAGCATATTTTAAATATATAACATTATGTAGGTTATAGTTGAATATATTCATTGTAATTCATCTCTCCTTTATCAGACAACAGAGGACGACAAGCAGGGGAAGAACCAGCCCCCTCAGGCGAAGAAGCCCAAAGTCAAGACGAAGACAGTGGAGCTGCCCATAGAGAACAAGTTGCACTGGCAGCTGTCCACTGACGTTCTGAATCTGTGTGTGGAGAATGAGGTAATGCTCTGAAAATCACCAGGAATGTCCAGCATGCATTCAGCCATGTGGACGTGAGACCCCCAGATCCGATCTTCATTTGCTTTTTATTTCAAACAAATTCGAATGATTGTCAGTCACTTTATAATTGATGTTTATAATATAACAGCTATGCTTATCTGATGACGTAATCATGACAACACTCTATTAAACTAATTGAAGTTTTCATTTTACAGAGTTTGTTAATGTTTTCTAAATAGGTGGATTCTTTCCCCACAAAAGTGATTATTGTTATTCCCACTTCACACGCTTACATTTAGAGAGCCCGACCTCATTTCAAACTGAACCAAAGTGTTGACTGTAGTGATAAAAGGTATAATATGTAAGCGGGCAAAGTAGCATGTTATTGTTTGATTGTGTCTTCTTCTGCCGACTACATCGAGAAAACCATTATTGTGACTCTTCCAGGGTAAGATGATCATGCAGGATAAGCTGGAGAAGGAGAGGAATGATGCTAAGAACTACGTAGAAGAGTATGTGTATGAAATGAGGAATAAACTGCACGGCATCCTGGAGAAGTTTGTGAACGAAGCTGTGAGTAAATCACACTTGATGCAAAGATAGCACCAACATTTATATTTTCTAAAATTCAAATGAACGGCATGTATTTCATGTTTTGTTCTTTCAATTGTGGGAATTGGGAATTTAATCTAATTTCTTTATTTACTTGTAGGATCGTGACACATTTTCATTAAAACTGGAGGATACAGAGAGCTGGCTGTATGAAGACGGAGAGGACCAACAGAAACAAGTTTACATCGACAAACTGGGTGACCTGAAGGTAACCATGCATGCAGTGTGTAACTGCACACATGTTTATATGTGAAATGTTAATATTACCATTCAATAATGAACTGATATTTGGAGAAGATGGTTCACTGTAAGGTTTTGGTACTTATGCACCTATTTCAAAACCGGATATAAATGCTCATTTACATTTTTTTTGTAATAGAAAGCTGACATTTATATTTTAACATTCCTCTACAATGTCACTTTTTAATTTTGTTGTCCCGCTGGCTGATTTGCTAACTTAACCTGATGTTCTTTTCCACAGCAAATGGGCCAGCCAATTTGTGAGAGATACATGGAAGCTAACGAGAGACCAAAAGCATTTGAGGAGCTTGGCAGACAGATACAGGTGTACATGAAGATCGTTGAAGCTTACAACGCAAAGGTAAGTTTCTCTGCTCACCAAATGAATGCTTAGTTAGATTACATTAACCTTTATGTATTACATCACATGGTTGTATGTTAGACTACTGATGAACTATCAACAAACAGATGTAATCATTTATCCGTGCTTTTCCTCACAGGATGAGCTGTACGACCATCTGGATGAGCTGGAGGTGACTGGGGTGGACAAGCAGGTGAAGGACGCCATGGTCTGGATGAGCAGCAAGATGAACCAGCAGAATAATCAGGACCTCACTCTGGACCCAGTCGTCAAAATCGGGGAGATCCATGCCAAGATTAAGGTACAAAAAGAGTGCATTGAAAGGCACGTACAGATATATGACCATAGAAATACTGGAGGTTGTTACCACAGCTTCATCAAAACCACTCCCGTTAGATTGAATTATTTATTGAGTTTTGTAGTGACTGGAACAAAAGTGGGAAAATCATCAGTTGTCAAGTTGGTTGTACACTATATCGTTATTTGGTTTAAAACCTGATCGAGTAAATCATGGTCTCTGTAAAAAAAAAAAAAACTATATTTCTACCTGTCCTCTAACAAATATTGTCTTCTTCCCTGTTCAGGAGCTTTATTCAGCCTGCAACCCCGTGCTGTCCAAACCCAAGCCCAAGGTGGAGCCTCCCAAAGAGGAGAAGACAGAGAACGGGCCGGTCAATGGGCAGGAGGGAACAGAGGAGCCATGCAACTCAGACAAAGCCAAACCTGCAGGCACGGAGCAGGGAACACCAGAGAAGAAGCAACCTGAAATGGACGTTGAATAACTTGTTTTACCTGAGTTTCACTCCTCTCCTGCTACATGCCCCTGATTTTGTCCTTCATCTGAGATTGTTGTCGATGACACAGAAAACACAGAGAGCCGCATCCCTTATTAATACTATTCATCAGTCAGCCACCTCGGCATGTCATTTCTCTTTCTGTTTTTTGATGAATACAAAAATATTGCATAATGTTAATATTGAAAGGACTACTTTATGACCTAAAAGTTGTGAGCGTATGGTGGAAACTGCTATTTCCGTGTTGCTTTGATGGCCATTAAGTTAACGATTGTTTGTTCAGCATCTCCTGACCACTTTTAAGCTAAGAATGTGAGATTTAAAGAATTGTAATACAAGTGGCAAAGCAAAAGAAAACTAGTAATACACGCAGGATTCATGAAAATGTATAATATTGCAGTATGTCTAAATATGGTATAGGAACAGTGACACATGTAAACAAATATAGATTGTTCCAAGTTGTACATGACAAATAGTAAAATGTGTTCTCTACAAATAACTGTAGCTGCTGGATTATGATTTATTTAGTTAAAAAATAAGAAAGGAGATTGTGTTGAGTATACTTGTATTGTATGTTGAAACTAGGTACTTAAAGTAACTGTCATGCAGTAATTCATTTTTTGGCTTTTCTCATTCAAAAGCAATGGTCTGTTGGTTGTTCTCTGGTAGCCTTGTACTGTCTTTTTTTCTACTCAACAGTGTGAATGCTGGTCTAACAAATCACTTTCAGGGTGCTGCTGTTATTGCCACATCACCAAAAAAAGCAAAAATAAAACTTGACAAAGAAGTGTGTGCTGTAAGAAATGGCTTATTCACAAGCAATAGTGTCAGTTCTTCCCTTTACCCTAGTTTGTAAAGTGTACCACGACGAAATGTAATTGTAATATTTTGACAGACAATGATCAGGCTGAACCATTTGTTGATTAATTGCTCCCTAGATACACAAACACTTGGACACATTTCATTCATAATTAATTTAGGGAATGTTTCAATTAAAACTAAAAACCCAACATTTTGGACTGACAACAAATAAAATAAATATATCTCCCTCTGTTATAGGGGGATGTGAGTATCATTATTTATTATTATTATTATTACTATTATTGTTATTATTATAACCCCAGTCTTCAGGTCCTACTCTTTTCAAGAACAAGCATTGTTGAAATATAGTGTAAACATAAATGATATTCCCTACAATGTCAAGTTTCATAAAATAATATTATTTTTGTGAATAAGTATGAAAACATAGTTTGAATGAAATACAAATGTGCTGCACTAACCCTGCAGGCGGCGCTGTGACACACTGCCTCCATACTGTCATGGTCCAGTCAGAGCTGTAGCAGGAGTCACTGGTATTTGGTCGGACAAGGTAAGAAACGCGTTATTAACCAGGCACTGACTGTGTTACCGCATGTAATATATGTATTGTGGTTTTACCCAGAAGTTGCCATTGCTTGATGCTGTCGTAGAGGAAATATTAAAGCAGGGCCGAGCTCAGACTGTGGGTATAGTCACTCTGTTTACATCAGCTAACACTGCTAGCTTGCTAATTGCTTGTCCCTACTGCTTAATAAGTTTGGTTCCTAGTTCACCAACCAGGCAGAAGTTTGACCCCTGTAAACACCCCCTCTCGTTGTTATTTATGCAAGTATTATATTATCATTTAATGGCGACCACGTTTAGTATGGATAACGTTTACTTTTGTTGGCTAGCTTAAGTGCTTACACCAAGTGATAACTTTTGTCATAGTCTGCCAACTCAGCTGTGTACTCACTGGCTTTAAGTTTTCCAGTCAGCCCCTGTCAAAAACGCTATTTTGTGTCATTTAGACGAGTATTAAGTTATCAATAAGTGTCAACGACTTTTTTAATGGCTTAAGTTTACTTTCGCTGGCTAGCGTGCTAACTATGGAGCACAGTAAAGCTTGACGTTAGCAAAGGAAAGCTTACGTAACAACAAAGGCTGCAACCTTTGCACACAGCTACATAACATATCTATCTATAGAGCTACGAGTAAACAGTAGTTAACTAAAATTACATTCACTAATCAATACACGACTTTATACATATTATTTTGTTAGGGTATAAATGCTAATTTTGTAATGACAGTAGTAACTGGTGTTTTACTCAGAATCAAGTTTGTTGCCAGGTCTGTTTACACGTATAGGAATTATAGGAACAGGAATACATAGGAATAATTAGCTTTGGTGTATGGTGGTTCAAACATAAACAAATTTTTTTTAAATAAGTTGTAAGACAAAATAAAACATGTTTTTGTATATTAAAAACTTTTAATATTTAAAAAAACTAAAGACAAGTATTTAAACCAAATATAAATATACAAAATAATCCCAAAAGAAACGTAGTAAAATGAATTAGACAATATAAGACAAACTGCAGTATGTTATATTTTAAAGTGGAGAGGTAGGGATATATATATAGAAATATGCAAAATATATTCAGACAGAAGAACATTGCTCACAGTGTTAAAATAGAGCAATATGTTGTTCACATGATATGCATTACTGTAATGCATAATGTTTGTGGGGTGGTGGGTTGGTGTCAATAGGGGTCCCGTGCCTTGTTATTGAGGCTAGTGGTGGAAGGGAAGAAGCTGTTCATGTGGTGAGAGGTTTTCTTCCTGATGGGCCGCAGCCTCCTACCAGGGAGCGGGACAAACAGTTTGTGTCCGGGATGGGATGGTCAGCTCGCTGGGGGTTTGATGTATTGTTGTTTGGCTATTGCTATGTTCACTTCTTTTGTTGCTTTTTTATATATTAATAAATAATGTCGCACATGTTTTTTATTGCAGGAATGTAAATGTCTGAGGACAAGGAAGCACAGGAGGATGAGCTGCTTGCTTTAGCAAGTATCTACGATGAGGAGGAGTTCCACCAGGCGGAGTCTGCACAGGGGGGGGAAATGCAACTCTGTCTAGAGCTCCCTCCTGATTTCAAAATTATTTTCAAAGGTACAGCTGTTAGTGAGTCAAGTAGCCAAGATAGATAGATTATTTTCTTAGTATAGGAACATGTATTTATTCGTCTCAATGTAACCCAATCTCTTGTGTTGCAGGAGAGAAGCAAACCGAACATAATGTCTGCTTCTTACCTCCTTTGGTGCTCAACTTTGAGCTTCCTGCATTCTATCCATCCACGTCCTCGCCGGTCTTCACCCTCAGCTCTAAATGGATGACCAGAGCACAGGTAACACTCATGGTGGCTTACATCATTCTTCACTGCACAAAAGATGACCCACACTTGCATCGAAGGATTTGTAAATGATTATTATTGAGAATAAACTAAGATGAATGAAGTGTTTTTCTTTTTTTGTTATGACTCCAAAAAGTGTTCTTACCATACATTGATGTTTCTTCTCCTTTTCCATTTTACCTCCTTAGATGAGCGCTCTGTGCAGACGCCTGGATGATCTGTGGGAGGAGAACGAAGGCTGTGTGATTCTTTTCACATGGATCCAGTTCCTCAAAGAAGAGGCCCTGGACTTCCTGGGCATCCAGTCTCCTCTTGAATTCATCAAGGGAGGAAGTAAGGCATGTAGTGAGCGCAGGAAGAATGACCAAGCAGCTACAGGTACAGATACATTTTGTTACATTAATTTGCTTGTGTGTGATACATCTGCATTAGCTAAATATTCCTCACACAAGAATATATTTTAAAAGTAGATCAAATATATGCTCTTCTGCTATTCTGTAGATAAGCTGTTTACAGTTCCTGCCAAATGTATTTATTTTTGTTATTTTAAGTAAATTGTATTTATTATTATTATTATTATTATTATTATTTGTACTTATTAGGTAATCTGTAATTAACCTTTGGTTCTTTCAAAACATGCAACTTTCTAAAAACGTGTTGTTCTTTTGTATCATTTTTGTTCAGCTCTGACGCAAGGTGGCAGTCTTTCTGAAAACGCTGAAGAGAAGAAAAGAGAAGTGAAGAAGGAAAAGTGTGAAGCACAGTTGTCCCTGTCTTCTCACCTGGACCCGCGGGCCGTTCTGTCGATGGACCCGCGTGCCGACCTCCTACCTCAGCTCCTGGACTTTGACGAGGAGCAGCGCCAGAGGGTGTTTGACAGCAAGGTGTTCGGCTGTGGAATCTGCTTTGTAGAGAAGATGGGCTCACACTGCATCTGCTTTAAAGAGTGCCAACATGTCTACTGCAAGTCCTGCATGACCGAATACTTCCAGATCCAAATACGGGACGGCAACGTTCAGTGCCTTAACTGCCCTGAGCCCAAATGTACCTCCATAGCAACACCGTCGCAGGTAAGAGACAGTAAAGTAGAAACATATTTGTATGTGGCTGTCTTTGTTTATAGTTCAAAGGTTAGTTTACAATTGAATACATACAGTTGAATTTTTTCAGAGGAATACATTAAGCCTACACAGGGGCGGATCTACGGGTGGGGGGGCAAGGGG